TGAAGATATTCTCAAATGTTTTCTTCTGGAAGTTTCAGAGTTCTTTAGATCTGGGTGTGCTTAGTCGCTAAGTGGTGTCCATCTCTTTGTGACCCCACAGACTGTAGATCTCCATGCTCCTCTGTCGATAGGATTCCTAGGCAAGAATGCTGGAGTGGGTCACCATTTCCTTCTCCAGGACATCTTCCTGACCCAGGGATCGATACTGTGTCTCCTGCATTGGTAGGTGACTCTTTACCACTGAGGCACCAGGGAAGCCCAAGTACCTTGGCACCTTTGTCAAAAATCAATTTACAATTGATTTGTTCTTTTTCCTAGTTTGTTTTGGCTATTCTTAGCCACTTACATTTCCAAAAAGATTTTTAAATAAACTTGTAAAAAATAATAAAAATAAATTTGCCATCCTCTATTTTTTAAAAAAGCTTATTGGGATTTTGATTGTTCAAAACTAACTTCTTAATAATAGTAAATCTTACAACCCACCATATATCTCACCATCCATGGTATATGTCCCCATTTATTTAAGTCTTCCTTGATTTCACTTATCAATGTTTTTTAGTTTTTAGTGTAGAAGTCTTACAAATCACTTATTAAACATTTTTTAAAATATTTAAAATTTTTGACTCTATTTGCTGGAAAGGTTTGTAAGATTGATCCTTTTACAATAGTCAGAGACACCTAAAATCTAAGGCCATCTAAAAATAGGTTTCTAGTTTGATATTACAGGGTTGGGCACATAGAAAGTTGATACAAAAAAGGAAAGAGGATGCTGAAGAGATGTTGTAGGCAGCATGTGCAGAAGTTTTGGTCATTGCAGAGACAGTAAGAGGGGATTGTAACTGGAAGAGAGCACGGCACAGGTTCTGGGGTACTGGTAACTTTCTATTTCTTGATCTCTGTTAATAGACGTGCTAAATTTGAGAAAATTCGACAGGACATGTTTTTTTCTTTTTCCAACTCTGTACCCTTTTCTGAATGAATTTTATTATCCAGTTTAAAAAATTTAACTAAAATAATGAGGAAAATTTTAGGAACTAATTCATAAACTACTTGATGCCAGCCTCAGACTCATGAGAGGGCAGGTCATGTGATGGATGCCACCATGCTACCTTCTCCTTGACCATGTGCTGAACTAAACTGCAATTCCTTGCAAGAGATCATCAGTTCAGTTCAGTCCAGTTCAGTCGATCATTCATGTCCAACTGTTTGTCACGCCGTGGACTGCAGCATGCCAGGCTTTCCTGTCCATCACCACCTCCCAGAACTTGCTCAAACTCATGTCCAGAGAGTCGGTGATGCCATCCGACTATCTCATCCTCTGTCGTCACCTTCTTCTCCTGCCTTAAATCTTTCCCAGCATCAGGGTCTTTTCCAATGAGTCAGTTCTTCCCATCAGGTGGCCAAAGTTTTGGAGTTAAAGCTTCACCATCAGTCCTTCCAATGAATATTCAGAACTGATTTCCTTTAGGATTGACTGGTTTGATCTCCTTGCAGTCCAAGGGACTCTCAAGAGTCTTCTCCAACACCACAGTTCAAAAGCATCAATTCTTCGATGCTCAGCCTTCTTTATGATTCAACTCTCACATCTATACATGACCACTGGAAAAAGAGTGTTGACTAGACAGACCTTTGTTGGCAAAGTAATGTCTCTGCTTTCTCATATGCTGTCTAGATTGGTCATAGCTTTTCTTCCAAGGAGCAAGCGTCTTTTAATTTCATGGCTGCAGTCACCATCTGCAGTGACTTTGGAGCCCCCAAAAATAAAGTCTGTCACTGTTTCCCCTGTTTCCCCATCTATTTGCCATGAAGTGATGGGATTGAATCCCATGATCTTCATTTTTTGAATGTTGAGTTTTAAGCCAGCTTTTTCACACTCCTCTTTCACTTTCATGAAGAGGCTCTTCAATTCCTCTTTGCTTTCTGCCATAAGGGTGGTGTCATCTGCATACCTGAGGTTATTGATATTTCTCCTGGCAATCTTGATGCCAGCTTGTTCTTCATCCAGCAAGGCATTTCACATGATGTACTCTGCATATAAGTTAAATAAGCAGGGAGACAATATACAGCCTTGATGTGCTCCTTTCCCAATTTGGAACTGGTCCGTTTTTCCATGTCCAGTTCTAACTGTTGCTTCTTGACCTGCATACAGGTTTCTCAAGAGGCAGGTAAGGTGGTCTGGTATTCTCATCTCTTTAAGAATGTTGCACAGTTTGTTGTGATCCACATAGTCAAAGGCTTTAGCGTAGGCAATAAAGCAGAAGTAGATGTTTTTCTGGAACTCTCTTGCTTTTTCGATGATCCAATGGTTGTTGGCAATTTGATCTCTGGTTCCTCTGCCTTTTCTAAATCCAGCTTGAACATCTAGAAGTTATCAGTTCATGTACCATTGGAGCCTCACTAGGAGAATTTTGAGCATTAGTTTGCTAGCATGTGAAATGAATGCAATCGTGGGGCAGTTTGAATATTCTTTGACATTGCCTGTCTTTAGGATTGGAATGAAAACTATTTACCTATCATTGAAACATAACCAAGGAGATGCCTGGTACAAAGTTCCTGGTGCAGGAATGTCTATGAAGAAGAAAGAAATATGATGAAATATGAGGAGAAAGGAAGGTAGATGAAGGGGAGGATGATAAGAGGAGAATGTGACAGCACAATTGATTCCCTGCCAGAATCAACTGAAAAATCATTGAGTCTTTTATTTTTTATTCACTTTAGCTCTAAAAGTAAGATAGTATGAAGTGATATAGGTCTTACTTTCTTACAATATTAAACAGACATCAAGCAGTATATTAGCACAGACAGGCTACCGTGGGACATTTGTTCTAAAACTGAATTTTACTGAAATCAAAGTTAAGCATCACCTTCTCTTTGCTCTAGGTCATTCTGTTCTTTCCTCGGGTATTACCGCTTTCACACAGCATTGAAATTACTTGACTGTCTCCTTTACTATCTTCTCTTAGGCAAGGACAGTGTTTTATTCATCTCTAAACTGCCAAGGAATAACATATGCTTGAGCTTTTGAATAACTGCTCTATAAATATTTGTTAAATTAAATAAATGAATTTTATGATAATCATATACAAGGCATTCTCAATGACATGTGCACACAACATCTGCTCATAAAATATAAATATTTCCACTTAAAAATCACTTGCTTAATGCTAGTTTATTTAATTTGATCATCAAGATCAATTTCTTAATATGAATTTATTATTTCGTCTGAGCATCATAGCAGCCCTGCATGGTACATTAAGGACAGTCATCATTAAAGTACATGTTTTACAAATTAAGAGGCTAAATTTATAACATATAAAAACAACTTGGTTTAGGTCCTACAGGTAGTTAAGTCTCAGATTCAGATCTGGAATCTAGAGTTTTGGTTTTTCAGTCGGGTAATTACTTCTAAACAACCATAGACACTTGGTACCAGAAAGTCACTCTATACAGTATCCTAGCAAGTTCTAACTCCAGGCGGGTTTCCCCAGGTATAGCTTGGCTTTTTGACCACCTTCCTTGACCACCCCATTCTGTTCATCCTTATTTCCCATCTTCACCCCCAACACCCATCACCAGTCCTGCTGTAGTCCCTGAGATCACAGCACAGAAATGCCATGTTATACTGGCATAACAGTATGCCTATTTGTCAATTCATTTCAGCATTCCTTATTCCCTCTATAATTGACATTCTCTCAATAATGTATGAATACAATCTTCATAAAATGCCACTTTTGCTGATCTGCAACACAGTGTCAGTAAAAGCTGTACTCTCTCTGCAAATGCTGCTTCAAGACCTAACAAGTTTAAGGATCTGCCTGTCTGTGCCCCCACATAGGAAACAGAAAAGCCTGGCATGCTGCAGTCCATGGGGAAGCAAAAAGCTGGACATGACTCAGTGACTGAACAACAACAATAGGAAATAACTTCAGTTTCAGTCACACGTAAGGGATGAGGGAGACGCAGAGAGCAGAGCTGAAAAACATTTCCAATGTTCACTTCCGCTCAGGAGATGGCATATAGATATCTTGGGGCATATAATTAGCTTTTTATCTATATTCCTAGATATCACAACCATAGATGTGAAATTTCTCTTTTCCCCCACCCTTTTCTCCACTAAGAGAGTAAGAATTGAGGACTCATATTCTTATTAATAAGCGGTTTAATAGTCTCTTATATTTGAACCACAGCAGGTGAGAAGAATGAGTTGGTAAAGGAACCAAATTCTCCCAGTGCCCTTAACACATAAAAAATAAAGACAAGCATGGGTCATTGTCTTCCTCCTCCTCATCTTTATCCTAATTGATAATCACTTTCGGAACGTGTTACAAACCTCCATCTTTCAGGATGCTGTGCAGAATGATGGATTTTGGAGCAGGTGGTCAAGGGCTCTGACCTTCTTCCAGCTCTGTCACTGGCTGATAACACCGTATCGGGAGCTTTGGATTCTTCATGTACAAATGATGACCCGTCTGTACAAACGATGGCACGGTTATTGAGAGCATTAAGTGAGATAAATCAAGTAAGATAACATATACAGAAGCTCTGTGTAAACTACCTAGCGCTAAAAAAAGTGACGTTCAGTCGCTTGACCTGTCTGTTTACTTACCTCTCTCGGGGACAATAAGGATACCTACCTCGTAAGGTTCTTGTGAACTCTAAACAAGTTAATAAACCTGAGAACAGTTCCTGACATAGTGCTTCATAAATGTTAGCTGCTAACGTTATTCATGTAAGCTCCGCAAGGGGGCGAGTCGAATTTTACACTTCTCTTCCTCAGAGCAAGGCGTTCTGAGCCCCGCAGGCGACGTCTGATTTGCAAACTGGAGGATCTCCGGCTCCCAGTCTGCGCCTGGGAAGGCGTTCGAGTGTGGGACGGCCTTCAGCCGGAACCCAAGCCTGCGGGCGCGGAAGCACCGGAGCCACTTTACGCTTGGACCCAGGCCCCGGAAGTGGCGAGGGTGGGGTCGGCGCTGCCCCGGGAAACTGGCTGCCCCGGGAAGATGCTGCTGGACCTGTCGGAGGAGCACAAGGAGCATCTGGCCTTCCTGCCGAAAGTGGACAGCGCGGGTGAGGGCGCGCGGCGGCGGCCGGTGCTTCCCTGCGGCCTGGGGAGGGGTCGGGGCGGGGGGCGCCCGGCGCTCAGGCTCTCCTGGCTTCCGTTGCAGTGGTCGCCGAGTTCGGGCGAATCGCGGTGGAGTTCCTGCGGCGTGGCTCGAACCCCAAGGTCTACGAAGGAGCTGCCAGTAAGAAACGGGAGGCGCAGAAGAGCAGTCTGCTCGGGGAAGTGTGGGCCGTTCTCTGTCGCCCTGGAGAGGACGGCTTCTTGCGACTCTAAAGGTTTCTTCCCCCGTTGTGGCAGAATCGGGCAGAAGCCCTGTGGAGTCAGCGCGCAGGTCTGCGCGTGCTCTAAATACTGAGCTTTTAAAGCTTGTCTTTTCTGGCGTGTAATGGACATAACACCATCTGCCAGATACACTATGATGCTTACATGCACCCAACTGTGTGGAACAGTTCGGTGAACCCTAAACACGCAAGTGTTTGGCTGTGTTCGTTGTTCAGACATCTGCTTTTACTGAAGTATTTTCCCCCCGATGGACGAGGGCAGGTTTCCGATTTTGTCTCTTCTACTAGGCTTGAAGTAGCTGCGCGCTCAGGAGAGAGATAGTACACCTGATTTTGTCTCCACGCATCTGTATTTTGAAAGAAGGTTACATGGTGGGAAGTACTGAAGGCATTTGCCTGGGAATGGCGAGTGAACAGGAGGTTATTACCGAAATTATTTTTTTATTGCAGTGTTTGAAAACAAGGAGTAATGGATAATATTTACTCTTTTTCAGGAAAACTCAGTGTGAGTAGTGACACTGTCCAACATGGTGTGGAAGGATTAATATACCTCCTTACTGAAAGTTCGAAGCTCATGGTAAGGGCTTTTGTATTACCAGGACCTTAAAGAGGTTCATTATACTCTATATGTCAATCCTGGTAGGATCTGCTCATGTCAGTAATGTTGTTACTGGTTTATAATTGATTGCGTGAAGCCATGCATACATAATCTGACTATAATGTGACCTGCTGGCATGAATACCTCTTGTTAGTATAAATTAGAATTGCCTCTAATTCCTCATGTTACCACGTGTATCCTAAGAAGAGGGAGAATGAAATGATTTAACTTTTTGTGTATTAGCAGTATCTAGCTTGTTGGAGAATTGAGAAAACTGGGTATTTTAGCAGTTCTTTTTGTATTTTAATAAAGTATTTTTTCCACATTTTTCCCTTTTTAATACTGGCTGGGAATCTTGTACCAGTTGTTGTTTCTCCATGCTGTTACTAGAAAAAATACTTAAAAAATTACAGCTGGCTACATGGGGCTTCCCAGATGGTGCTAGTGGTAAAGAACCCACCTGCCAATGCAGGAGACATAAGAAACTCAGGTTCAATCCCTGGGTCAGGAAGATCCCCTGGAGGAGGGCATGGCAATCCACTCCAGTTTTCTTGCCTGGAGAATCCCATGGACAGAGGAGCCTGGTGCGCTACAGTCCCTGAGGTCACAAAGAATCCAACAGGATTGAAGTCACACACACACACACACACACACACACACACGGCTTAATTTACATACACACACACACACACACACACACGGCTTAATTTACATATTGTCCATTCTGCTGTTTCTCAGACTTACCTTTTGGTGAGAATCTTGTGGTGACCATATTAAACCAAATTCCTGGTTCGTCTCAAACCTGTTGAATCAGGTTTCCCAGAAGAGGGGCTTGAGAATATTTTCCCAAGGTGCTTTAAATGATTCTTAAGATCAGGTAAATTTGGGAAACTACCCTAAAGGCTTAACATTTTGATAGCAAATCCTCACGGTGGAAGTGATGAAAGACAGTGTGGCTTATTGAGTTATGGTGTTTCACCCTAATAATTAGGGTGAAATAATTAGATTATTTGAGTGGTTAACTGCATAAAAATATGTTTTATAGATCCCTTTTGTCAGACTTTCTAAAATGTTACACTTAGAGATGTTTCACAGCAGATGCTCTGTCACATAAATCTGTGTTCCGTTAGTTGACATGGGGAACTCATTTTTGCTTCCTGAGGTGATCTTTTCTGGCCCTCTTCAGAGCTTTCCTGGCTGCTCTCCTCCTTGCAATAGACCTCTAGCCTCTTGCTCTTAGATTTAGTCGGGTTGAATTGTCGGAGAGACTACCTGATGTGATTGGTCAACACACCTAAACCACCTGGCCCCAAAGACTAGAAGCCCTCCACACCAGCAATGAGCCCATTTGATTTATTCAGTTCTGTCTTCCTAGCATGGGACCTGTCCCATCGCAGGATCTCAGGAAGTACTTGCTAAAGGGACCAGGTAACCTAAGCCTGTGCTATTACAAACAGAAACAAGTGTAATGACAGTGAAGTCCCCTCCCGAAAAGGGTGGCATGCAGGAACTGGCAAAGAGCAGGCAAAGAAGAGCATTAAGGTGGCTGAGGTGAAGACGATGACGGGAAGAGAAACAGAGAAAGAATGCTGCTTCCTCTCCTTTTTCGCTGCCTGTTTAGCCCTCCTCATGTGGGTCATCCGATAGGGAGCAGAACAAGCCTGCTGTGGGCAGTCTCCTTTCATCTTATTGAGAGTCAGTGTCAGGCTGGCTTGGTCCCCAACAATGTTGTTCCACTGGAGAGCCACAGACTGGGACTCCATGTCCTTCTCTCCCGCCCCCTTTCCTGGCCACACACGTGACTTTCCTGTGTTCAGTCCGCATCTGAGTATCCCACTGAGATTCACCCAGACCGTTTTCTTCCACCCGCTCCCTGCCTCTGGCGACTACCATCTCTTCTCTGTATCTGTGAGTTTGCTGGGGCTTTGTTTTTGGTTTGTCTTCGATTTGACCTGTAAGAGAAATCATACAGTATTTCTTATTCTGTCTGACTTAATTCACTTATCCTAATGCGCTCAAGTTCCATCCATGTTGTTGCAAATGGCAAATTCCATTCTTTTTTATGGCTGAGTAATATTCCACTGTGTGTATATGTCACAACTTCCCTCTGCATTCATCCTTCAATGGATACTTAGTTTGTTCTCACGTTTTAGCCACTGTAAATAGATGCTTCAGTGAATATGAGGGTGCATGTGTCTGTTTGAATTCATGTTTTTGGTTTTTTTGGATAAACATCCAGAAGTAGAATTGCTAGATCGTATGGTAGTTCTATTTTCAATTTTTTGAAGAACCTCTATACTGTTTTTCATAGTGACTGTACCAATTTATGTTCCTACCAACAGTATACAAGAGTTCCCTTTTCTCCACGGCCTTACCAACACCTGTTTCTTGTCCTTTTGGTACTGTCCGTTCCAGTGGATGTGAAGTGATATCTCATCACTTTGATTTACATCTCCCTGATGAGTAGTGATGTTGAGCATCTTTTCATGTGCCTGTCGGCCTTCTGTATCTGTTCTTTGGAAAATATGAATTCAGATCTTCTGCCCATTTTTTAATCAGATTGTTGATCGGTTTATTTACTTATTTATCTATTTTGCTGTTGTGTATCAGATATGTGATTTCTTTAGGTTGCCTTTTCATTTTGTTGATGCTTTCCTTTGCTGTGCAGAAGCCTTTTATCTGAAGTAGTCCCACTAGTTTATTTTTGCTTTTGTTGCTTATTTTTATTTTTATGTATCAGAAACTCAGAGTTTGGAATAGTGGACAGGGGTTGCCTTTTACTCAGGAGTGTTGTTTCTTTTACTAGACAGAATGGAATTCTTATTTTTTTGTGTATATCCAGTATTTCAGCATTTATTAGACACAAATAAATTTTGATAAACTTGATTCATTTTTAGATTTCTGAACTAGATTTCCAAGACTCTGTTTTTGTTCTTGGATTTCCTGAAGAATTGAACAAATTGTTGCTTCAGCTTTATCTGGACAACAGAAAGGAGATCAGAACTATCCTGAATGAATTGGCACCAGACCTTCCCAGTTACCACAGCCTTGAATGGCGACTGGATGTACAGGTATGACTTTTTAAAAAAAAATCTGACCTAGAATATAAAATTTATTTTAGGCTTATGTCTTCACACTTGTTGTATTCTTTACCACCTTAACCAAATTCTGGTTTGAAACTTCAGTTTTTTAATGTCCATTTTTAGACCATTTCACAAATAGTTCATTTTCTTTTTTTTTTTCTAAACACACCACAAGGCTTGTGGGATTTTTTAGTTCCCCAACCAAGGATTGAACCCAGGCTCTTGGCAGTGAGAGTGCTGGGTTCTAACCACTGGACCGTCAGGGAATTCTCCATTCTCTTATATTTTTAATATGTTCACATTGGTTTAATTTGTGAAGTTTGTAAGAAATAGGTTATTTTGGAAAAGCAGATGGTTATCTATATTTTTAAAGTGGTGCTTAGCTTTTAGAAAACCTTTTTCTGTCTAAATAAAGCACATTTATAGAAAAGTACACAAGTCAGTATATAGCCAATGAATTATCATGTGGTAAAAACACCCATGAAACCAGCACCCATGATCAGCACCTCAGAAGCATCCTTCTTGCCTTCTACAAGTTACTTCCCCATCCTTCTTTTCAAAGGTAACCAGCATCCTGTCTCTTAATGCACAGATTACTTTTTTCTGCTCTGTAACTTTCTATTCATGAACTGATTCAATAAATATTTTTCTATGTCTGCCTTCTTTTTATGAAATTAGGTTGTTTTTAAAGCCACGTACACAACCAAAAAGGAGTTTCCAGACTATTGCATGCAGCCTTTCTCAAGCAGTGACAGATAAGCTAGTTAAGAGATATTTATTGAATGCCATACAATCACTGATTAGGGCTGTGCTGAATGCTTTGGGAACCATAAGAATTGTAAGACACTTTCTCAGCTGGAAAAGATTTTATTTGTTTAGTGATATTAGATGTCTCAAAATAACTAGTAATTAAAGATAGTTGTGAAATAAGGTTCTGGAGAGGAAAAAAGAATATAATTGTATAAATAAAGGTACTTCTGAGTATTTCAGAAAAGCTGTATCTCAGGTAGTTCAGTGTACATTGGCATGATCCAGAAAAGCATCAATAAAAGAAGGGTAAATTTCAGGAAAAGAAATGGATGGAGAAAACCAGGGTAATATTATTGAGAGAGGAGACAGCATAAGTTGTAAAGGCCCACATGAATCTGAGAATGAACAAATGAATATGTGGGATAGCTCCCTAGTTCCCAAACTTGATTGCACATTGAAATGATCTAGGAAGCTTTAAAAGAATTCTGATACCTGTGTTCTGCCGCAGAGGTTCTAATGTATTGGTACAGTTTTACCTGGGCAACAGGATTTTTTAAAGCTCCCTTGTCACCTCGGTAATTCTAATGTGTAATAATGTTTGTAAACCGCTGTAATAGTAGATTCTTCCTGATTTGAGTGGTCCAGATAGGTTACAGAAAATCAGCTAGACAAGCTTAGCAGTTGTATCCCAGTGTGTTGACTGCTTGCATATATATTAACTCGGGAGAATGTATAAAGCAGATTATAGGCTCCTTGAAGGCATATGCAACTTGCTTTTTTGATTAAACACTTTCTTTTTAGATTTGTTGATGACAGTTCACGTTGCTGTAGTTTACTTCTTTTCCCAATCATTTAGTAAGCATTTCATTGTATGGATATTCTCAATTTATCCATTCTGTTGGTAAAGAATATTTGAGATATGTCTAGCTTTTGGCTCTTGGAAACAAATACTATTATGAGTCTGTGTATATGTGTAAGAGTTTAAGGTATGTACCTAGGAGTGGAATTGCTGGTAATTTATCTGTTTTCCAAAGTAACTCTTGCATCACTCTCACCAGCAGTGGATGAATTTTCATTACCACCACTTTGCAGTGCTCCTTATGGGCAGGTTCCTAATTCTTGCCAGTCTGATAAGCAGCATGATTTTATTGGCCATTTTCCTAATTTCTAATAAAGTTGAATGTAATGTATTTCCTGTGTTTACCTATTTTAATATTACTTCTGAAAAGTGCTTTCATAGGTCTTCTGTACAAGTTTCTTGGTTTTGTGGGGTTTTTATTAAATCAGAGCACTTCTTCATATATTCTTGATACTTGTTTTTGGTTTTATGTGTTACAGAGTATCTTTCTGAGTTTGTGGCTTGTTTTTTCCCACTATTTTTAGAAATCTTTCCAAGAAATTTTAATAATTTTAATGTATTTCAGTTTATCAGTTTTCTTTATGATTTTTGTTTTTATATCATGTTTAAGAAACCCTTCCATACTGTATAACTACCTATACATTGCAGTTTTGTTTTTTACCCCCAAAGATTTTTTTTTCCCCCCAAAGATTTTAAAGTTTTAAAGATTTAAAGTTCATTTTGAAGTCTGTGATTCATCTGAAATTCAATTTTTGTGTATGGTATAATGTCATTATACATATGTTCAGCATGATTGTTAAATAGTCATTATGCTCTTATTCCCTTTAAAACTAAGCTTGCGAGCAGAAGCCTGAGACAACAGATTAAACCATCAGTGACTATAAAGCTCCACCTTAATCAGAATGGAGGTCACAACACCCACGTTCTGCAGACAGACCCAGCCTCCCTGCTGCACTTGGCTCAACAGCTGGAACAGGCCTTGGAGGAGGTGAAAACAAACCACTGCAGGAGAGTCGTGCGCAACATCAAGTAGTCCCGGTTTGTTTTCTTCCGGCCACACCACTTGTGAATTGGTGATACGCATGTGCAACATCAAGTAGTCCCAGTTTGTTTTCTTCCGGCCGAACCACTTGTGAATTGGTGATAGGCAGCAGTTGTTTTTCAAAATCAATTTTTTAAGTTGATAGTGATAAATACATAGAGATTTCATAAAATTCCTTTCCCTATGTCAAGATACCGAGGTCATGGTCAAAGGCTAAGTGACATTTCTCTCTCGGTGCTGATATGATCAGCCTCTTGAGTTAAGGTGTAGTTTGTATTGTAAATGTGCAAATAGGACTGAGTCAACTGAAGGTGAATCTGTGCGGTTCGAATCCTCTGTGTATGTAAATGACTGTTTTCGGTGCTTTTTTTGATTAGTTTGTTGTTTTCCTCCTCATTGATCCAAACTTAAAGTTCACGGTGTGATTCTGTTACTATTCTTAGTATTTCTAGACAATTTAATGTTTTTGACTTTAAAGCACACCATGATGTTAATAGCCACAGAGTAGTGGGAAGTGAATATGAATTTTTTAGATGCAACATTTTTTAGGCAGTTCATGTGTTTTATTTGGCTGTGAATATACTAAGTACTTACCTTGTTGCTTAAGTTTAAGTTGCCATGCTAATAAGCTTAAATAGTACTCAGATTTGTGTGAATGTATTGTAGTTTATCAAGGATTCATTTTTTTCCCTATTACCAAAGCATCTGAGAGACACACTGCCATTCAACATTTATAAACAATGGTTGCAGGCATATTGTAATCAGTTCTTAATTATCTAGATATAAATTACCGTCACTTTTTAAAATTCTGTTTGGATAAAGCATAAAGAGGGCAAAGGGGGGCCATGTTTACTACATTCCCGGCAAAGTTCCCTTCTGCCTTAAACGAAAACGTGACTTTTGTTTTGTGTTGTCTTTAAGTGGGTGACTGGAAGCTATCAGCCTGAGCAGTTCAGACGCCGACATGTCAGGTCAGTCTCAGGGACACGGTACGGGGACTGACGGAGTCACAGCCTGAAGGAGAAGGTTGCGTGGAAGGGTGGAAAATGGGGCTCAGCCTTAAATAGGCATCCCAAACCTTATTCTGAAATTCTCATCCCTTGGAAGGCCTTCAGAACCGTCAGACTCCGAGCCGTAGTCTAGGCTCTGTTGTTACTTCGGCCCCTGAGAGTTAGAGATTCCCAAGCCAAAGTGGCACCATGCTGCTGCTTCTCTTCAGAGCGCCCAGCTGGGGACAGAGGCCAGTGGGAGAAAAGCAGTTGAAATTGCCACCCGTCATCCCCTTGCAGGCATCTTTTTTCCATACAAGTGTGGAAGAAACATATGTTACGCACTTGCAAAATAACTGTAAGGAAACTATACTCAGATAATTTTTAATTATAGTGATAACTTGATTGATGAAGCTTTCATGTTAACCTCACAAACAAGAGGAAACTTTACATATTACATGAGATTGTAGTATATGTCATCGGGTTAAAAGCAACATGCCTGCCAAACTCACACAATAAAAGTAGCTCTGTGAGCCTTATTTGTCCACATTGAGTGGAGATAAGCAGGGCTGACTCCAGCCAAAATTGAAATAATATCCTTGTGTCTCCTTAGGGCAACTTTTTTCTTCTTCTATATCCACTATTCTTATCCCAAGCAAAACAACAAAGCATGTGTTAGCCTCTTTTTTTAAAATTTGTATCAAACTCCCCTTGTCTTTTTATTACAGTTTATGGGGTTCTCATGGCAAATTTACTGGGGTGGTTTGCCATTCCCTTCTCCAGAGAAGAAGAGGACGACAGAGGATGAGCTGGTTGGATGGCAGCACTGATGCAGTGGACATGAACTTGGGCAGACTCCAGGAGATGGTGGGGGACAAGGAGGCCTGACGTGCTGCAGGCCGTGGGGTCATGAAGAGTCAGACGAGAGTTGATGGCTGAACAAAAGCCCCTGTCCCCAGGCTCTGTGCTCTGTTATTCTTTCTGGTGTTCTTTGCTTTTGTAGGCTGGAATGAGTTGGGAGCAGTCTTTCTTTTGAATCTGGGACTCACTTTTTTTCCCCACTGAGCGTCTAATGAGTCTCTTCCTTTTCTTGTTCGAACGTTCCACACCCTGACCCGCTCCTCTGCCTTCCTTGTTTTATGGCACATTTATTTTTTTGTAGTTTGTAGATGAACATATTTTGTATATGTTTGTAGATGAACATATTTTCTGCAGATGCAGCCACTCTTCTACTCTCCTATATGACCAGGTTTCTTGACTCTGGGATATATCTTTCCATCTGTAACTATCTAAATGTTTATTAAAACATTTTGGGTTATGAGTGTGCATATTTTTCAGGATTTGCTGATGCATGCGCTATTAAGTATAGTAGGTATTTAAGTATATAATAGCTCTTAAGTCTCAAAGCCAGAATAGTAACATCTCATTTCTCAGAACAGCTCTGTAAGTAGGGAATAATCAATATATGTAATTACAGAGTCTACATATACTTCACCCATTGGAAGTCTCCTTTCTGTTTTACAAATTCCATGAGTTTATTTTGTTATTGATGTTTCCAAGCTTGAGTAAATTTAAAACAGCAAACTAGAAAGTGGTGTGGATACTATAAGAAGAAAATACACTTTTGTGAAAACTGGAAGATGAGAACCTGATACTAAGGAAAGTTTGAAAAATCATTAAGAGTGTGTAAAGCAATATTGTAAAGTAGTTAGCCTCCAATTAAAATAATTTTTTATTAAAAAGTGTGTAAAGGATGCTTGTGTGGGAATCCTTGGAATGTATAACAGTATGTTGCCCTTTAGGGTATGATCCTATGAGAAATCAGTCTTTGGGAATGGGCACAAGGATTTAAATTTAGTTTTTGTGGCTTCTTATGGATCCTTGGTATCACCGACTCGATGGACATGGGTTTGAGTAGACTCCGGGAGTTGGTGACGGACAGGGAGGCCCGGTGTACTGCGATTCATGGGATCGAAAAGAGTTGGAGACGACTGAGCGACTGAACTGAACTGAACTGATGGATCCTTAATAAATTCTCAAAGCTTTGTTTTCTTCATCTCTAAAACAGGAATAATAACACCTGTCTCATTGGCTTGTAGAGACCATGAGACAGTGCATAAAAAATGTTTAGGGCTTTAGAATATACTTATGTGGACTGAGGATCCCATTATTTTATAACCTTGAACTCTGTCTAAAACACTCTATTTAAGGAACTGAGAGAAAATGTTACCTGATGGTTTCTGGGTGGTAGGATTATGACTTTCTTTGCCTTCTTAATTTCTATACTGAGTTTAACTTGTATTAAAAAATTTTTTTGAAGTCTAAAGGAAGAAGAAAAAAGATCAGGGAACTTAAATACATTTTTAGTAGTACTTTTACTGAAAATTTTAATTCTTAGGGGCCTCCGCTGGTGGCTCAGTCATAAAGAATCCAGCTGCCAATTCAGGAGACACGGGTTCAGTCCCTGATCCAGGAAGATCCCACATTCCTCGGAGCAACTTAAGCCTGTGCGCAGTTATTGAGCCTGTGTTCTAGAGCCCACGAGCTGAAACTTGTGAGCCCATGGGCCCCAAATACTGAAGCTCCAGTGCCCTAGAGCTCTTGCTTCGCAGCTCGAGAAACCACTGCAACGAGAAGCCCACACACCACACTAGGGAGTAGCCCCCACTCTTCAAAACCAGAGAAGAGCCCACTCAGCAACAGAGACCCAGCACAGCCAGAAATCAATACATAAAATCTAAACAAAGCAAGAAAATCTCAGTTCTCAGAATGATACACACATAACTGTCCTGAAAACTCAGCTATTCAAAACTGCCTAGTCCCCAAAGGACTCAGGTAGACAGGCTGAGGGTTTTACCTATAGGCTTGGTCCAGAGTCCTTTTTTTTCCCCCCTGTCTTTTCCCCTCCATGCTAGTGAAAGAAGCATGGGAATCTCAAGGCATTAGCTAAGCCAGCTCCCTTTTTCTAGGTAATATTATATCTAAATGGAGTTTTTAATCTCCACAGGAAAACATAATACTTCTTTGTAGTTCTCACAGCCTTCATGATTAGGAAGATCTGTCCACTGCTGTATTAAAGTCTTCCTACTATACATACTTTTCTCTGTACTTTTTTTTTAGTATATGTTTAAATTTCTCTTTAGCTTACCCTTCCATGGTTTCCATAGTGATTGGTAACTGTCATCTCTTTTCCTTTCTTTTGCTACAAGTAGAAAATACTCTGGTAAAGAGGATGTAGTACTATATTGCCTCTAGTTTATACATACCTGTTTTTAAAACCATCATGACAGTTATGCTCAAACATACATACTTTCCTTAAAAGCAAAACAAGCAAGCCCAGCTTCACTGTTAGTGTGGTTACTTCAGTGAGCTTTGCAAACTTTGAGAACGATGTTTGAATTATAAAAGCAGAAGAAACCCACTGTTTCTCAGCTTTGCAAAATAGTGTATACTATTTCAAGATGAGAAAACAATGATATGCTTTATGGCAATAAAATACATATATTGAATGACTTCGTCACTTGAATATTAATGGCTCTTTATATAGTTCCAGTCCTCTCTGCCCAGGAACTCAAATGACTTAATTATGTTTGGTAGCCATGAGTCCATGAGAGTCTACTTACTATAATAGGGAAGCATGGGAAAAGTAATTTTATTTTCTTAATGGGCCTAAAATGGAGCATTAGGAGTATAGATATCTGCATTAATCAATTTAAAGCCTATCAACCTTTTATAAGAATTTTTTAATAAGTGTAGTGTAAATTGCTTGTTTCATTAGAAATATTGCTAATTATGTAACTGTCAGAACGAGAGGTCATGCACTTTTATTGTACTTGAACCTAAATTAATGGTTTTTAGTTGCAAAGACCACGCTTTTCATTTTCCTCTCCTGCTGTTATCATCTCTAGTCTCACAGAACGGTCTGCCCAACGACCAGCTACAAAGAGGCAACACAGAGAAAAGGATTTTTGCCCTTTCTCACAAGCTTCGTGAGATCCTTTA